CCCACAGATTCTCCTGCCATAGTTCTCTGGTCCTGAATGAGGCTGAGACTTCTGACTTGAGGCCAGTAGCTGAGACTCCAAGCTTCCCATGAGGGGACTGGGTACACCTGAGCTAGGCCCTCCTTGTCTTCCAGAGCCCCCAGCATCTACTGGCTATGACTCCGAGGATCTTCACCCTCCCCACGGTGAGGATAGAAAGGGGGCCCTAATTAGTAAGTGGGATTAACAGACTTGGTTAATCCCTGCCCCTAAACAGAGACTCAGGATTCAACTTCCAACTCCAGTCACCTACCCCATCCAGCCAACACTATGGCAAGGGACACAGAGGACCAGGATTGAAGAGATGCTACAAACCCTTGCTTTTGCCTGGGTCCCTCCTTCTGGGCTCAGGAACTCCTGTCACAGAGAAGTGTTGGGGGCCCAGTCTGGCCAGAAACTCTCACCTCAACCCAAAGTGAGGCCAGGTGACTTCCAGCTCACTTGAAGCCCAGCCCTGAACAGGGATTGGTGAGGGCTTGGGAGAAAGCCCTGCTTTCTCCTCTCCACATGGGGCATCAGGAGACAAGTTGGGAGATAGAAGCAGTGGTGGGATTAGGAAGAGCTTGAATGCCTGTTTTGGAGTGTGAGTTTTGACCCTTAGGCCATAGGGGACCATCAGAGATTTGATGCAGGAGAATGAAGCTGGGGATTCTCTTTAACAAAGATCCCTCAGGTTGCAGGTGGTAGTGCTAAAAGCTACCGCACCAGTCCAGGCATGAACTAAGGCCTGGTCCCCACCTCCATCGCCCAGCGTGTCTCCTGATGGCTCGAGGGCCCCTTGCTGCAATCACACCAGGCTTCTTGGGACCTGAATGTATTAGGCATTTTCATGCCTCTGTGCTTCTGCATACACTGCTCTTACTTTCTGGAATGCTCTTACTCCACTTCTAATTGTCAAACTCTTGCACATCCTCAAAGGCCCACCTCTACAACCCATTTTCTATGAAGCTCACACCCCAACTATATCCTAGCCTTCCCTGGGATCAGTAGGCTTGGCTGTATCCAACTGGGAATTTTCCAACTTTGTGTGTCTGGAATCCAGAAGGGTGATGAGGATGTTTAGAATAGGGAAATAAGTGGAAGAGGAAGTCCAAAGTCTGCCTAAATCCCTTAGTGATAACAGCTACAGGGAGCTGCCCTGGCCCTGTCCCCAGAAAGGGCAATGGTAGATCAGATGGCCCAAGGCAAGACTGTGGAGAAGGATGCTGTCCAGACTAGTGGCCAGAGACCTAGGTCCCCTCTGGGAGTGTGATTTGCAAGATGATTTCAGGTCTCTCTCTGGGACTCTGTTACTTTTATCCTTCTCTGGGTGGGACCCAGCACTCAACTAAATTGTGTCAAAGAGCCCATTTCCAAAGTACCCCCACTTTACTCAGAGACACCCAAGTCTCCCAGGTTACCCCAGGAGCTCCTGCCCCTCCTCTGCAAACTGCCTCTGGAAAGGCTCTATACATGTGCTGCTGGGGAGCAGAGTTGGCTGGTTAACCCAACACCCTCCACCCTCAGACAGCAGCTTGCAGAAGCTGCCAGGAACACTATGCTGCCCTTGGTAGGAAAAGAAATATCTCTTGGCAAACAGCATGGCCACAGCCCTGGCTTAAGAGGGCCTAGCAAGTGAGGGCATCCCTTGTCCTGTCCTCAGAGGACAAGTCTGGACTCTTTTGTTACAGGGACAGAAAAGTCAGCTGGCTCAAGCCATAAAGAAAGGTATTGACTCCTGCTGCTGGAAGCAGGGCTGGTTTCAGGTATGGCTGCATTCAGGAGCTCAGACAATGTCAGAAAGACTCAGTTTTTCTCCATCTCTTTATTCTGCTGTTAGCTCTGTGGCCATCATCATTGTGTTCCACTTGGCAACAAGGTGGGAGCAGTAGTTCCAGCCCCTGCATCCAATCTAGTGGGAAAGAAGAAATCCACTTGCCTAATTACTTAATGCAAAGTCCAAGGAATGAGCTTCCTGGATCTGAGTAGCCTCACTTGGGCCATGTACTGGGCACTATGGCCAAGAATGCTCTGACTGGCTCAAGTGTGGTCAGATGTTGAGCCCCTAAGTAGAGGGCTCATCAGAACCCATGAACTAGAAGTGGGGAAGGAGGTGGTTCCCCAGATAGAAGTGAGGATGTGGCAGCAAGGGGAGCATAAAGGATGGTAGAGGGCTACAACAACAGATGTTTACTACCATCCATCCTGCTTTCCCATCATGGGCTGAGGGGAAGTTTCTCTTGGCAAACAGCATGGCCACAGCCCTGGCTTAAGAGGGCCTAGCAAGTGAGGGCATCCCTTGTCCTGTCCTCAGAGGACAAGTCTGGACTCTTTTGTTACAGGGACAGAAAAGTCAGCTGGCTCAAGCCATAAAGAAAGGTATTGACTCCTGCTGCTGGAAGCAGGGCTGGTTTCAGGTATGGCTGCATTCAGGAGCTCAGACAATGTCAGAAAGACTCAGTTTTTCTCCATCTCTTTATTCTGCTGTTAGCTCTGTGGCCATCATCATTGTGTTCCACTTGGCAACAAGGTGGGAGCAGTAGTTCCAGCCCCTGCATCCAATCTAGTGGGAAAGAAGAAATCCACTTGCCTAATTACTTAATGCAAAGTCCAAGGAATGAGCTTCCTGGATCTGAGTAGCCTCACTTGGGCCATGTACTGGGCACTATGGCCAAGAATGCTCTGACTGGCTCAAGTGTGGTCAGATGTTGAGCCCCTAAGTAGAGGGCTCATCAGAACCCATGAACTAGAAGTGGGGAAGGAGGTGGTTCCCCAGATAGAAGTGAGGATGTGGCAGCAAGGGGAGCATAAAGGATGGTAGAGGGCTACAACAACAGATGTTTACTACCATCCATCCTGCTTTCCCATCATGGGCTGAGGGGAAGTAAGAACGAGCAGGAGAAGCAAGCAAGGCTGGAAAGGGGCCAGAAGGTACAGCCAAAGGACAACGGGGCTAGAAAAGTGCCTTGGGGAAAAGCACACTCCACACAAGTAAGATACAGCAGTGGTGGGACCCAAGCAGTGGTGGCCGTCCCCGGGCTCCTCTCCCAGAGGCCACCTCTGGGACCCTTCTGGCCACCCACCCCTCTTCATGCCTGATCAGGATGAGCCAGGCACAGATCTCTTAAAACAGAGCATCTTGAGTGTTTCAGCTGAATAAACTTTTTGGGCAAGTGGGGAAGCATGTGATCCCAGAGAGACCACAGCAAATTTCCTCTATGTCTCATCTCTTTTCTTTTATTATATAAATCATTGTATTCTGCTCCATTATAGATCCATATTACTTGCACTATGCCGAGTTTTAAGAGACTTACCAGCTAGTGTATTTACTCCAGTTGGCTGCTAAGGCTAATAGTCCAATATAGAACCCAGGGTTATGGCGTGCCTTCCAGGCCCCCGGCACATGGGAAGCAAGGTCTGGGTGCTGGGGATTCTAAAGGGCATCCTGGACAAGGAGGATTTCCTTGGACCTGGGCTGGGTCAGCCATGGTGCTTGGCTGCATATGGGAACGTTAGACAACAAGGACCTCTGTGGCACTGAGGCCCCGCCAAAGCCTTCAACAAGGCTGAGAAAGCTGTTGAGAGCAGAGGGCCTCAGCTGGATGGCCTCCTGGGCACTGGGTTGCCCAACTTCAGCTTGCACCCCTCTTCCTCTGTGGCAATGGATCGCTTGCTAGCACCTGGGATGCTTAGCCCTCAGTGGGATTGATGTACTTAGAGCTGTGGTCAAAGTCACATCCTCAGTGTCTACAGGCCAGATGGGACTTCCTTAAAGGAGAGAAGTGAGGAAACCACCTCCACAGGACTCGCTCTACAGCCCTGCTGCAAGAAGTCTTTCCACCAGCAGCAGAGATGGTGGGGGCCTCTTGGACCTACAGGGAAACTGAGGCCCTGGGAGGTGAGGACCTTGTCCCAGAGCGTGAGGGATAAGCTGAAAGGAACGCCCAGAATCCCTGTTTCTGGAGGAGACTTGCTGGACCACCCCACAGTCCTGTTGGGGACTGTGACATTCTCTCCCCCTAGACAGAGATAAGGACACTGATGTGGGGTTGCCAGGGCAGCAGCCACTTCCCTAAAGCTAAAGAGACAGAAAGAAGCTGTCGCCAGCCCTGTGGTTCATCCATGGAAGCTACATTTTACACAGATCCCTCAGATTTCAGGTGATGGTACTGAAATCTCCCTACCCCAAATCTCCCTGGCACACAGGTCTGGCCCCACCCCTGATTCTAGGCCAGGGTGCAGGGGAAGAGAGGGAAGAGGAGAAGCCTGGTCTTTCCCATCCCTTCCCAGAGGTTCTCACTTCCCAGAGGTAGAGCAGGCTTGGTGGGATCACCACCATCATAGAGGAACCTTTCTTACTTCCTGAAACCTCCCTGCCCTCATTAGATCTGACAGAACTTGAATTATTCAGAAACTAAGAAAGAGGCAGGGCAAACAGGTCTGGTCTGGGCAAGGAGTGCTTGTGACCCCCCGGAAGGCTTGGTGACGCAGGGGACTGAGAACCAGGAGATGCTGGATGATGCAGCCAGACTCCTAGTTGCATCACAGGCCTGTCCCCAGGAACCAGAAGCCAGAGTTCAACTCTTCGTGCGGCACCTGCGGGACCAAAGGCCTCCAGCCCAAGCTGGGGGGTGGCAGAGTCCAGTGGGCTGTTCTGGGCTCTGAGGAGGGGCCCTCTAACTTTTGTCCATAGTCATGCCAAGCACAAGGAGAAAAAGTTGTTACAGCCGCGGCACTATAGGAGCCACTGGGAAGCCACGACCGGGTCTTTAAGCAGACCTAGCTTTGGGCATAACGGAAAAGAGTTTGGGGTCAGGTCCAGGTCAGGGTCAATCTTCAGTCTGTGATCAAATTCAGTCAGAGACTGGGATTGGGGTTCCTTCTGGAACTTGGATCAGTCCAGGGATGGGGCCTCATTTGGCCCTTGCCCCTGGTGTCTGGGGATGAGGCTGACAGGTCCCCTCTCTATCTCTGTCCCCTAGGACGGCTGGGCAATCCCGCTGCAGTGGGAAGAGTGTGACTACCTGCAGATGATCGAGGTGCAGCACAAGCAGTGTGTGGAGGACACCCAGCCAGAGAACAAGACGGCAGGTGAGGCCCGAAGGGTAAGAGGCACTGCAGACCCAAGGAACCCCGCTTCTCCCGCCATGAGCCCGGATCAGGTTGTCCCACTTCCATTCCATGCATGTCAGGTGGGGGTGGCACCGAGTTATTGCAGGGTGTAAGCACAGGATGCAGGGAGAACTCGGGGAGCCAGACAGAAGAAGGTATAGCCAATGAGCTGCTGTTCCCATCACCCCACCTAGGCCTGGGGAGCTCGTGGCTGTGAGCTGAGGAGAACATACTAAACTGGGGTTCTGGAAAGTGTGTGAAGCCAGCTCTGCCTTTGTGGATTCCCATCTTCTCCAGGTTAAGTAGGGATGATGTCCACGGTTGCCAGCAACCAAGGGTGGGAGGCCCGGGTGCTGTCATGGTGGGGCACCCCTGGCCCAGCCCAGAGAATGGCTGGGTAGTTCACTGCCACCAGGGAGGGAGCACTCCTGGGTCAGGCTTCTCAGCCCCTGGCTTCAGAGCTGAGATGGAGAGAACTAGCGCCAGAACAGCACACTTCAGGATCAGGCAAATTTACTGGGTTTAACATCTTGGAGGGAGAGAGGAGGACATTTTGTGACAGTATGTGGCCACTACAGGGACCACACAGAAGCCCAAAGCCATCTTGGCAGTCTAGAGCAACAGGGGCACCCGGCCAGTCTGCACATATCTAGCACACTCACCACCAGGGGGAATGGAAGCCCAGCTCCTTCCCCCTCACCCGAGGCTCTGCCAGACAGCACAACCCCCAGAGGAGACACCACCCACATGGGCCACTAGTTACCCACACTAATCTCCTATTCCAGCCCACCCTCCGCAGGCCAGATGCACCCACAGCCCCGTATCCTGCTGGCTCGACAAGCTGTAGTCAGACTCAGAAGCTGAGCACATGGGGGCCCGGCTCAGGACGCCTGGGAGAGCTGCAGCCTGGCAGTGTGAAGGGTGGCACCGGGGTGCCTTCAGGCCAAGGCCACCCAGACACCCAGCTCCAACAGGGCCATCAGAGCAGATGGCAACATCCTCTACCCACTCCACCCCAGCCTTGTGGCCCGCACTTGGCTCAGCAGCCCAGGTGGAGGAATGGGAGTAATTAGAGAGGGCTTCCTTTGAAAGGTGCCCCCTGGGCCAGGCTCTGAGCAGTTGGCAGGATCTGTAGAAGCAGGGAGGCTGGGAAGGCGGGAGGCACGGAGGCATGCTCTCTATGGGGATTGGGGGCGTGTGGGGCTCCATGCTCACTGGGAGAGAGCGCAGCTGGAGCAGTTAGGGGGGTGGATCTGCTCTGGGCCTCCCTGCCAGGTTCCCTCCCTGAGAGTTAACTGACAGTTACGCAACAGCCTTGCTCAGGACCAGGAAGCATCTTTGTGTCTCCCTGGCTTCCCAGGCCCCGCCACCTCTCCAAGGTTGTTGGTTAAGTAACTCCTTCCTCCTCTTTGGCCTGTCCTGGCTCTCTGCCTCCTGCAACCTAAGTGAATGTGTGGCCTTCACCTCCCCCAACTCCCACAGGAGGGGTGGCCCCATCTCCTGGGATCCTTGGGCTGGAACCTGGACTGAGGGGTGGCCGACCTGCCCACTGCCTCTGTTCCACCCCACCCCACCAGGGCTGGGAGGCAGGACCAGGCTACAGACAGGCCTTGGCAGTCCCCCAGCAGTGGGACCTGGGATCACGGGCAGCCCAGAGAGACCAGACCCCAGACTCCAGGCCCCACTACAGCGCCTCCCAGGTCCTGAGGGCAAGCCATCCTCATGATCCTAATGAGGTCATCGCTGGCACAGGGTGCCTGCTAGGTGCCAACAACCTGTCACCAGGCAGTCAGCCTGGCATACAGAAGAGGGTAGGTATGGTTCTGTGGGCAGTGAATTTGCCAGTGAGCTATGTGAGGTTCTGCACATGTTTGTGCACATCTAGATGTGTGCTCCTGGCCCATGTCTCTCTGAGGCCATCTGTGCCTCTGGGGTCTGGAACTCTCTGTGTCTATCTCTGAGTATCTGTGTGTGTCAAGGGAATCTGTCTGCATAAGTTAGGACACGCCTGATTGTGTCTGCCTGAGGTGCTGTGTCACTGTGTGTTGTTTGTGTATGTGTGTACCTGGGAATGTGAATATCTAGGGCATATCCAGTCATGTCTGCACACGTGTGTCTGGAGCAATATGCATCTCTCTGTGCCTGTGTTTACTTGCATCTGGTCTTTCTGCATCCAGATAAGTGTACATGTATGTATATTTGCATGTGTGTGTGTCTCTGTGCATACACATTTACAAAATGACACAGCAGAGACCCCCACCCTGCCTAGCTATCCCCCACCCCAGCCTTCAGATTGGGCTTTCTTTCCTATTGAGGAGGCAGTCCCAGCCTGGGCCCGTGTCTGTGGGGTTGCCAACATGTGTGGTGAGACCTGGGTGGCCTCCCTGGGGCAGGCGCACAAAAGATACTCCCAGCACCCAGCCCAAGACAAGAGGTCCCCAAGGTGCCAGGATTTTCTTAGCAGTCACCCCTTCTCAGCTTCCCGACCCTGCTACCTCCTGCAGGAAGCATCCCTGACCACATCCCCCTGCTGGCCTCTCTTCCCTGCCTGCCTTGCCCTGCCCACTGGCATGTGCCCAGCATGGTTCACAACCCAGCTCTGGTGGTGCCAAGATTCCTTGAGGCCAAGAGTGGCCTCCCCAAGGGCAGGGCCTGTCTCCTCTGTGCACCCCTAGTGAAGCTAAGCTCAGGGTGGGGGATCCAGCTCCGAATCTACTTCCTGACCTGTGCTGCAACTGGGAATCCAGAGAGCTCGAAATCTGGGAAGAACCCAGGCACCACAGCCGGCCTACAACACAGGGCATGCCCAGCATTGTCAGAGAGGGCTAAGCAAAGTCCAGCAGAACCAAATTCCCAGAGAAATGGCTCCAAGCCCCTCAGAACAGGAAGATTGTTGCAAGAGCTTTGCTGGAAAGGAAGCATGTGAACAGGCTGCACCACTCACCAGCCACACGACCTTGGGCTAGTCCCCTAACTGTTCTGTGCCTCAGCTATTTGTCTGTAAGATGGGAGGGTTAAAAAAGTCACTCATTTACAGAGGGCACAACAGTGCCTCCTACATGCCAAGGCTACAAAGTGCTTGTTGACCTTATTAACAGGGTCTTGAACCACAAGTAGGATTTGAGCGCCCTGAAAGCCCTTATGTGGTCTCCGGAGAGGCAGGCACAGGAGTGGAAGGGGCACTAGGAGCCAAGTGAGGCCACAGAAGCCTCTAGACAGTGTGGGCAGAAGGCGCTGTGGCTCCAGAGGCCCGGGAGCTGTGCTCTTCAGCCAGGCCCTGCAGATTCAGGGGTTCTCAGCCTTCTGCTGCAGGTGCCATGTGGCTGAGGCACCCCCTAAGGTCGCCCTCATCCTGCCAACCCACCCGGGCACTCAGAGACCTGAGGCTCCTCCCCAAGCAGGGATGCCCTTCCACCTCCTCTTCCCAGGCCCCCATCCTGGGAACTCATGAACCTTCGGACCTGGGCCAGGCTAGGCTGGCTTGGCCCGGCTGTTGTCGACTTTGACCCAGGGGTTGGGTCTTCTGGGAAAACTTGTGGGACTGTCTGACTGGCAGGGTTGCAAATAGACAATTAAACCTCCATCAGGGAAGGGGATGCAGAGGAGCCCTAGTCTCTCAGGGGTACCCGGACCCTGCATGGACAAAACCATGGCGTTTGTGTCTGCCTATCACAGCAGATGCCAAGACACCCCACTGTGCACCTTCACAGCCAGGCCCTCAGAGCTAATTCGTACATGGCAGAGAACACAGCTGTGATTCGGGCTTTTCTCTAAACCCACTTCCTGACCACCACCCCCATCACAATTCACAGTGCAACTGAGTTTTAGAAAGACTCCTCAAGAACTAAATGAACCTCATTATACCCATCTCCCCATCATACCCAACACCTCCTTTTATAACAAATACTTTCTAATGCTTCCTTTACTGTAGTAAAATGAAATTCAGGACACATGCGTTCATTTTTTACAAATTATGTTCTCTTTGTGACATAAAAGGAAAGTAATTTATAATAAAATACTATGAACATATTTAAGAGGGATCACAGTAAAAGATAAGACACAGTCTGAAGGTTGTACCTATAAATATAAATCACAGGACTGTGGGAGCTATAAACGTAGATCGACCATGTGGTGATTGCATCACTGATTGAGGTTCATGGGTGGCATCACTGTAGGTAATGTGATTTTCCAAAACACTGAACAATTCTTAGTGAAGTTCAAAACAAAACAAAGCAGTTTTCTCTCCCTTTACTCAGTAGTTGCATTCCTGAGAAACTCTGTGTATGTTAAACCCATGCACTAAGCACTCATGTTCACTGTGAAAACAGAGTGAGCATCTAGGCTCTGGTCACTACAAAAGGCTTTGGCCGGCACAAGCGCCCAGTGGCTCATCTGAAAGCCTTGCAGGACCCCGTGCAAAGCATCTTCATGCAGGACGTCTGCTTGGCACCCTGTGCCTGCCCATCAGGTGCAGGTTGAGGCCCCCAGTCTCTGCAACAGACACCCCACCAGCACTGTGAGGGGGTGCTCCATCCCTCGCTGAGGACCGTGGAGGGGAGTCACGCCTCCTTCTCCCCACCCCCTGTTGGGACAGGCTCTGTATTGCCTGGAAGGGTCAATGCCTGTCCTCTCAGACTGGAGGCTCTTCAAGGTGGAAGCCTGGAGAAGGGAAAGAGTGGGTGCCTGTGGGCTCAGCCCCCAGGCTGGAAATGCCTGATGGCCATGCCGACCCAGGTATCCTCTGCCTTCACACCCTAGGCTGCAGCAAGATGTGGGACAACCTCACCTGCTGGCCAGCCACCCCTCCAGGCCAGGTGGTCGTCTTGAGCTGCCCCCTCATTTTCAAGCTCTTCTCTCCCATTCAAGGTAAGAACCTCAGGCTGAAGGGAGGGGGCTGGAGTTGCATGAGTGGAACTGGCTGGAGTGGGGACTTCAGGAAGTGAGAAGGCAAGGGAAAGTGGTCAGAGAGGCTAGAGCAATCAGGGGGGTGCTTCCTGGAAGAGAATGGGCTGGCACTAGGTCTGATGGATTCATGGGATTTGATTAGCTCCTCGCATAAAGATAAGCATGTGGGAAAGGCTCACTAAATATTACTCAGCAATTGATAACTGATTGACTGACAGACGCATGATTAAATTATGGCTCCCATGTTCCTGTTGCCTTGGGCTGGCCATAATACAGTATTTCACTGCCCACAGCCAATCACCTTTTGGGCTCTGTGAGAGCATTGCACAGCTTTTTGTCTACACATCCTGTCAGGTTCTCCCTAAGGGAACGTTCACATACAAGGCAAAAAACAAAAGAAGGAGCCTTTCTAGGAACTTGGCTTTCTTGCTATTGAGCAATGAAAGAGGTTTGCAGCCTGTATTCAGTCCTTCTTTCACTCAGTGAATGTTTATTAAACACCTAGTATGACAGAGATTGGGCTGGACAAACATGGTGTGGGGGAGCATTAAAACAGCTCTGCCATCTGCCTGCAGTGGGCTAATGCTCTAGATGGAGAGACACTTAGCAAGAAAACGAGCACACATCTCATAAATGGTAAGAAGGGCTGGTGGGGGGAGTAGAAAGGGGTGGGGTGCACCGTAAGGCAGGTGTCCATGGACAGGCTCTCTGAGGGGGGTGCTCCAGCTGTGTCCGGAGACATTGCGGGTGTAAGAGCCAACACACCAAGATCGTGGGTCACTGAGAGGGGCAACAGCTGTGGGATAAGCTTCAGGGAGACTGTGGAGGCCAGGGTGACTGGAGCAAAGAGAGCCCAGCAGAGGGAGGAGAGGGAGAGATGGGTGGGCAGAGGTCAGACCATGCAGGCCTGGGACTGGACCGTGACTTTGGCTTCCTTCTGAGTTCCCTGAGAAGTCCCTGGGGGCTTTAAGCAGGAGACTGACAGTCCAATTCAGGTTTTTAACTGATAACCCTGGTTTCTGTGAGAAGAAAAGATTCTAGGAGTGAGAATGGGGAGACCCAGTCCCAAGGCAGGTGAGCAATGGTGGTCTGGACTGGGTAGAGGATGCAGCAGGGGGAAGAGGTGCCTATGGGGAGCACTGGGGCTGTGTGAGGGCCAGGTAAGTCTGGGTTTGATGAGCCGGAGGAGGAAAGAGCTGGCCTGCGGTGGGAGGACCAAGAGAGGGGCAGGTGGGACAGGGAGGACTGGTGAGGGGTAGGTCTGGAGTGGGAAGGACCAAAGAGGAGCAGGACCTAAATAATAATTTGGAAGAGACTCTTGGGCATCTCTTCCTCCAGCTGGCCTTCCCTCTCTGGACCCCAGTTGCCCTGCTATTAAAGCGGGAACAGGAGGTGGACCAAACGGACTCTTCAGGGCGGGCCGGTCCTGTCATCCGGTCACCAGTGCTGCAGCCTCAGCAGTGTGGGAGGAAGGCTGATGCCCTCCCTGAGGAGTGTGAGAGCAGTCACGGGCATGGGTGTCCCAGGCTGGCTCCCACCTTGCCTGGCCCTCCTCCAGGGGTGCCCAGCACCCGGGCAGGTTGGCGATGAGCTCCGACAGCATTCGTGATGGATCCCATCAGCAGAGCCTGGCGACCAGCCTTCTCTCAGATCCCTGGAAGCACATGCGACCTGCATTCTGCCCTGACGGCTCTTCCTTCTTTCCCTGCTGGAATTGTCAAGGCAGCTCCTTCCTTTGAGAACCTGGACTCCAGCCCACCATCTGGCTAATCCTGAGGCTGCCAGCATCAGTGGGGCCCACATGGTGCCTTCGTGCCGATTAGAAAAGGCAGCCCTTGTTCAGGCAGAAACAACCCATCACCAGAACCCACGTAGTACCAAGCTGAACATGCAGTAGATTTTAGTGCCCCTCACCCATCAGCCAGGAGCCCTTGTGCAGTGAACAACCTGCACAGCTCTATTTCGCAGCCTTAGCCTCAGAAAATAATAGAGAAATAGGAGACTGGGTTAGGGGCTGAAAAGGGAAAGAGGGTGTATTTTCCTGGGCACCTAGATGAAGAAGGTGTGAGCAGTTGACCTTAAATTGCAAAGAGGGAAATTTGCAAGTAAGGAAAGTGTGGGGAAGAGATGATGCCAACCCTTGTCCCCTTGGGACAGAGGGCTGGGGAAGGAGTATCCTTCTTGGAAAGGTTGGAAGGGACCTGGTTTTACAGGAAAAGCTGAAGAAACCACATGGAAGATAAAGATTGCATAGAGTTAGAATGAAGTCATCCTCCCAGGCTGGGTCAGGAACCTCAGGGAGGGGATTGGCCAGCAAGGGATTGCTCATTGAGGCACCAAAATGTCCATGGGGGGCCTAGTGCTTTAATTTGTGGTCTGCATGTCCTTCATCTGTGATGACTTTACCTTTAAGTATGTGAAGAGGCTTTTTTTTTTTTAAGGTTAAAAGTAGGATAGCTATTTTGGTTGACAAAACTCAACACAGGCTATGTTAACCACGTGTGGGGGTGTCTATGGACCACCTCCTCCCCTTGCCCCACCACCCACATCATGAAGCCATAGATAAGAAGGTCTTGATGCCAACCAATACCATTCACTCTGGCCAGCTGGGCTGGGGTACCAGGATTTCATCAGAGGAGGGCCATGGCAGGTCTAGGTTTTGGAATAATCCCTCCAGCTACTTTGGTAGAAGCAGGTTGGAGGGGGCAGGGAAGCAGGGAGGGCCGTCAGGAGTACCCCACCTAATTCAGGGGGTATGAGTGGGTGTAGTAGTGGATGGAGACTGGGACGGGACTGGTGGCTGATGAGGATGTGGGGAGTGGGGAGAAGATGCTTTCCCAGTTTCTATCTCCAGTCCCTGAGGGGTTCTTCTCCCGTGGAGAACTGGGGAGTGGGGCGTGGGGGCGGCCATGACTTTTTGAGACTGTGTGCAGGAGACTAGGAGACTGTGGGGTGTCCCTCCCAGCGCAGTTCCTTGCCTCCCCCTCCACAGTCCCCTTCACATGCACAAGGTCTGCCAGTTCCCAGCCCAGATGGGGAGACTGTCGGCTGCTCTTTGGGGTCCCTTTGAGAGCGCTTCAGGAGCAGTTCCCTCTGGTGCCTGGACCACTGTCCCAGGGCTCTTCAGAGAGACTGCCCAACCCTGAAGATGACCCACTATCCCCTCACTTCCCCCATCAAGCAGGGCAGCCAGGGCTCCAGGGCACAAGGTGCCCCCTCGGCCACCGCTCGAGGCCCAGGGAAATGCAGTCAGGTCAACCTAGGCCTGCATCCCCAGCCCTCTGCCTCCGTTCTCTGTGGCCGCTGGTGAGTCACCTGACGTCTCTCAGCCTTGGCATTCCCATTTTTCAGGGGACTAATGGTAACTCCTGATCACTAGCCTTAACACATTAATGCTAGCTCCCTGCCACCCCCATAGAAGGCCCGTAAGCTGCTTTGTAGATGCTAATGGGTCACCCGGGCTCCCTAGCTTCATTCATGATGGTACCGTGCCACCTATGTCGTGGGCCTGACCTTGTTGGGCGCTGGTCCTGGCAGTGGGGAATCCGAAGCCTGAGACATTAGTGTCCCTCTTTCCTCCTTGTCCCAGCCTGATGGGGGCAGTCCCCCCAGGAATCAGATCCTGGGAAGGGGCATGGCCTCAGGCCACCGTGAGCTCCTTGGGTCTGGGGCTGAGGTGGGCCTGCAGCTCAGCTGGGGCCTGGTTGAAGCCTCTGGGCCAGCCCACCCCTGCTGCAGTGGGGAAGGCTGAGGGGCCGAGGAGGAACGGCATGAAAGCTTTTCCCGTGTCCTGGGAGCCTCTTGCAGCAGAGGCCTGTGCAGAAAAGAACTGCCAATACGTAGGCAGGACACTGGCCCAGCCCGACGTCCCTTGCTCGGCAGAGTCCTTCCTGCCTCCCTGGAACCTCACAGTGGAAAGGCCTAGACCCAGTGTGGCTGCTCCTTTCTGGCTGACCCTCCTGGCGCCTGGCCGTCAGTTCCTCAGCCATAAAGCAGGGCGATAAAAACCTCTTTCAATTGGTGGCCAGGAGAATTTACAGAAACCGTGAACAGAGGGTCCCCTGTTATATTCTGTGTCAAAGATTAAAAATATCAAAAGCATGTGCCCAGGGACCCTCCCTGACCTCACAGGACAGCTTGACCCCTCCTACGGCTCTGCACCTGGACACCCGAACAAGTCCTCAGGTCACCTCCGTGTAGGTGATGGCCAAGGTCACCCAGGAAGACTCTGGAGACCACACCTGCTCCCTGTCTTCTCTGTGTGACCTCGGGCAGGTGACCAACCTCTCGGCCCTCACTTCTTACGTATGGAATGGGACTCCCTTCCTCACTGGAGGGTTGAGGGATTCACTAAGATCCTGTCGGGCGTGCTCTGTATAGCACTGGCTCTTGGGAAGTTCTCAGCACCCATCCTTGTGATGAGGCAGAGGATGGTGCCGGTGCCGGTGCCGGTGGGAAACGGGCAAGAGTGAGAGGGTGTCAGGACCCACCTTCCTTCTCAGCAGTTTCTCACCTCATCTTTCCCTACCTTTCTCTGCCTCTCCTCCTTCTTCCTCCATCCTTTACCTTCTGCGCCACCTCCCCTCCCTCCTTCTCCCCTCCCCCTCTTTCCCTCACCTCCCCCCACCTCCCTCCCTCCCACCCCTGCTGACCTGGCCACCAGCTTTCTCCTGGGAGGAGTCCTGGGGGAAGGAGCAGGGCTCTCCGCCAGCTCGCCTGGGAAGGGGACACCTCCCCAGGCTGGAGAATGGGGAGCCTCGTGGTACCCCTCACTTCACGTGTCCCTCACCCCTCCCCCTGTGCTGTGACCTTGGGCCTCCAAGGACCATGAAGAGTGCAGCTGTCCTGGAGCCCCAGCCTCAGCACGGTTCGCCAGGATCCTGCAACACTGGGCTGCCTGACGCCCCTCGCACAGCCCTTGGTCTGGGCAGATCCCCTTGCCAGGAGCTCCCTGCTTCTCCATTTATGAAGATTCCAGATCTGTGCCCTTATCAGGTGTCCTTCAGGCCCCACCCACTTCCTGCCTCACCTTTGTCCCTCTCTAGCCCCACATCTGAGGCCAGGAGGTGGGAGGAGCCCAGGCCCAGGTCCAGGCAGCCTGACAGAGGAGCACTGGGTGGGCCTGGGCCCCTTGCCCCCACTGAGGACTGCCATCTGTCCTGCAGGGCAAGGAAGCCATCTGCCACACCAGCCCCTATGGCCCTGCAACAAGGCTCAGCATTCAGCACATGGCAAGGGTCAGGGTCATTCTGTGCCCAAGGTCCAAGGCTGTCTGTGACAGGGCAGAGTTCATACAGTACCTGGGGGCAGGGTCATGACAAGGGCAGGCCTGAGCCCAGGCATATCTGCTCTGATTCTCACCTGTGTCAGAGGGTCCCCTGGCAGCCCTGGAGGGGCTTCTCCCTGCCCCAGGTTTCCCCATGGCTCTCTGGGAATCTAGGTGAGGGCAGCTAGAGCCTGACACGGCAGGACTTGGTGGGAGTATAGCTGAGAGCAACAGCCAGGTGCGTGTCTGTGCCACGGACCCACCCTGCTCGGCTCAACCTTTCTCCTCTCTACCCTTGCCCTCCCACCAGACCTCAACGTGAGCCGCAGCTGCACGGATGAGGGCTGGACACACCTGGAGCCTGGCCCGTACCCCACTGCCTGTGGCTTGGATGACACGGGCCTGAGTTTGTATGAGGTGGGCCTCAGTACCCCTGCCCAGCCCCTCGGAGTGCCGGTCCTGTAGGCTCCTCCCGCTCTCCCCCAGCAAGGGCAAGGTTGCTGACTGGGTGGCAGCTAGAGCTTCCGGGCCTTCACTCCCCAAGCCTCCTCCCTCTCAAGGCCTGCATTTCCAGGTGCTCATCCGGACTCCCCCTGGCAGGGCACAGGGAGGGGCTCACATGGGGAGGACACACAGTAGCAAAAGCTGATGCAGCACCCCAGCTGGGCCACCCCACTTCCTTGTAGGAGCCTTGCTCCAGCCTGGGGGTGGGCAGGGCAGACAGCTGTCATCCTTCCTGTCTACTGCAGAGGGGAGGCCGAGGGCAGACCCCGGAAGGAACCAGCCTCAGATATCCACCAGCCAGTCAGGCCCAGGGACAGGAACAGGCCCACTGTCCTCAGTCCCGGGGCAGGGGTCTGCCCTGGAGCAGGTGAAGCCTGGGTGGTCACTACAAGGGTGTGGGAGTCATCAGCTAGGAGCCCCTCATCCTGTGGGTGTGTGAACACAGGTGTGTGTGTCTGTGATGACATCTGTCCCACTGCCAAACACGCTTCTCTGACAGGGCCTCCTTTCCTCCCAGGAAGCAGCAATCCCCTCAGAGGCCTTCACAGCCCACAGGATCCTCAGGCAGCATCTAATTCCCCTAAACCCTGCTAACCCTTGTCTATTCCCTGGCAGGATGGGGGAGGGGAGGAGGGGCTTGCCCAGGGACCGTGGCTCTGCTTGGGTGTCCAGAGGGAGGGGGCCAGGAGGACCAGGAGGGGGTCAGGACGGGACCAGGAGGGGGCCAGGACGGGACCAGCAAGAAGCCCTTGGGCTCCAGCTTTGCCCTGCCTCCCCAGAAAGGCCAGTTTGCCCTCATCCTGCCCATCCCTGACTCCAAGATCCCCCAATAGGAAATGTCTTTAGCATTCTCCATTCCCTGTGTGGCTGTCTGGCCACGTGGCAAGAGAGGGCCTCATGTGAGGATCTCAGGGGCAAGCAGTGTCAGTCCCCAAGGCGCCCAGCTGAGAACCAGCACAGAAGGGGTGCTGGACACACGACTGAAGAGTAAACGAGCGGACAGATGGGCCGTGTGAGGTCTTCCCTCTGCCCTTCACCGACATTTCCCTCATGAGAGAGCAGAGAGAGGGGGCTAAAGGCAGTCTCTGCCTCCACCCTGGGAAGCAGTCCTGTCAAGTCTCTGGGATTGGGGCATAGGGAGGCAGCTAGGGCTCAGGGGCCTGAAGCGGGCAGCTCAGCTGCTCTGGGGGGCCCTGGGCCTCAGCCTCCTCCTCCACCAGAGGCACAGCTGGGAGGCCGGGTGTGCAGGGCATCCCTCCCAGCGCCCACACCAGGTTGCCCCGCCTCCCTCTGGCAGCAGCAGACAGCTTTCTACAGCTCTGTGAAGACTGGCTACACCATTGGCCACAGCCTGTCCCTCGCCGCCCTTCTGGTCGCCACGGTCATCTTGAGCCTGTTCAGGTGAGGTCCAGCCCCAGCCACAGGCGGTGCAGCCAGTCTAGCCTGCCAGGCTCGCTCTGCTCCCGCACACATGCACTGTTGGGCAGCACACAGTCCCTGCTCCAGCCCCCCTGCCAGGCCAGCCTCCTCTGGGAACAGAAGGCTGTTCAGTCCCCGTCACTGCCAAGTCCCCCACAGGGTGGCCCCGCACCTGGGGTAGAGGACAGAGTGGGGCCTGAGCTAAGAATGAGACAACCGGAGGCCAAGCTGCACATGGGGTGGGATGCCTGGGGGCAGGGCGCCCCCAGCAGGCCACGTGCTCCTCCTGCCCTAGCCTTGCTCTGAGCCATGGACGGTGCTGGTTGGGGTGGGGGTCTGAGACCCCTTCACCTCCCAGACCTGCTCGCCTCATGCAGGAAGCTCCACTGCACGAGGAACTACATCCACATGCACCTCTTCATATCCTTCATCTTGAGGGGGACCGCTGTCTTCATCAAAGACATGGCCCTCTTCCGCAGCGACAGCGAGGAGTCGGACTCCTGCTCCACAGGCTCGGTGAGACCCTCCCCAGGGGTCCGCACCTGACTCTCCCCTTCTCCTTCTCCTCCCCTCTCTTCTCCCTCCCCCATTCCTCCCCTCTCCCCTCTCTCCTCTCTCTCCTCTCTCTCCACGGGCGGGCGGCCATACCACCCTCAACCCCACCCGGCAGCTCCTTGAAGCTCACTCCTCCTCCAGCAACAGGACAGAACCCAGCTATCTGGGAGACCCACTCTGCTAAGGAAAAATGCCTCTCCTTGCTGGGAAATGGGGCACTTCATGCCAGAGCCCACAGCCCCCATCCCTCCTCTGTCACTAACTTCCCGTGCCATCTAGGGAACTCCCTGACTCAGCTTCCCATCCGCATGGAGTTCCCAGCTTCCTTCCAGCTCTACCCTCCAGCTCTGCCCACCAGGCAGCCTCCCCACCCCTCCCCCTTGCCATCTGGAGTCTATCCAAACACACACAGTCCTTCTCTGCCACTGCCCCCTCCCATCAGGCCAGGTTGGGACCTTCCTCCGGAAGGGAAGTTAAGGAAGCTCCTAAAGAATTCGTGGCCAGTCACTAAGGGCTCCATCTCCAAGTGACTCTGAGCTCAGGGCCTCCTCCCTGAGTGTCCCCAAGCCAGGACAGAGGCCCACAGCAGCCCTGGCTCCCACCCAGGCCCCATGCTCAGTGACTCATTGCATCACAAGTGACTTCAGAGGCAGTGCATTATTTCAGAGGTCAGTAGTACGTTCTCCCCAAAGAATGAACCTACAGTGGTGCAGTCCCAGGCAAGGGGAAGGGAAAACTCAGGGGAGCTACCCTGGCCATTACCAGAACTCCTCAGAGGATCCCGCCAGAGAGTCAGGGCCCACTCAGACATGGGCACTGTGACAGTCTGGGGAGCAGTGTGAAGCCTTCTGGGACTTGCTAAGGATAATTGTTAAGACTGGCTTTGCCATTCATTAGCAGCTCTCTGAAGGTTTTGTAAGGCAAGGAAAAGATAATTGGCCTGTTAAAAAGCTGAGTAATTCTTGTTGTCCGGAAGTTGGGGGTGGGGGGAGCAGGAGAAACAGGCTCACCTGCAGCAGGAAGGACTGAAGTGCAACCTGAGGAAGGACCTCCCAGCCATAGGGTGAGGGGTAGGCTGCTTTCTGAGGATGTCTCAAAGCCAAGGACCCAGGAATGAAGGGTGGGAACCCATGTTCTGGGTACAGGGAGGCATGGAGGCTAGAGGGCTTCCTGGAGGAGGATGGCTTCAAGCTCTGGCTCACAAGGGTCTGGGCTTGATCTAAAATGGGAGACCATTTCGGGGAGAGAACAGAGGACCCAGAAGACCTTCTGTGGCTGCCCCACTTGGGGTCCCCCAACTCCTCCACTGTCCTCACCTGCCTGGAGAACCCACTCTTCCATTAGCCCCTCTGACCTCCAGGAGGAATGACCATTGTTCCACCCATTTTCCTCATTTCTACTTCCCCTACCCCTTCCCATTCTCAGTCCCCATGTCTCCTCAACACTTCCACCTGAGCCCCTTCCACAAGCCGCAGCCCACATCCCCACACATTCAGGGGACTCTTGCAAACTCAACCAAGAATTTCCCTTCAGACCGCTGCCAGCTGCCTTCAATCCTAATTGGAATAAGATGGTTGAGTAAGTGGGGGAGGGAGTTACATGGATAGGTAGGTAGATGGATGGCTGAATATATAGGTGCATGGATGGCTGTGTAGGTAGAAAGATAGATGGGCAAAGTAAGAAAAATTAGGCAGGTAATGGGTAGACGGGTGGGTTAGTAGATAGGTGGATGGGTGCATGAGCAGAATGATGGATGGGTGGATGAATGGATGCATGGTTAGGAGTATGGGTTTGTAGTGGTTACCTTGTACCAGGATAGGCAGATGAAGGAAGAGAGTACATGGGTGGATTGACAGATCTGACAATGAATAAATGATCAGTGGATGCACAGATAATAGATGGGTAGATGGGTGAGTTGGTCGTGTATGTCTAGCGGGTGGGTGGGTACATGAATGGATAGGTGGGTAGGTGGATGGTTGGATGGGTATGTAGGTGGATAGATATACAGAAGGAAAATGAATAGATGATAAATTGATGGGTGGATAATTAAAACCACAAGCTTATCCCAAAATACCAGATGCTTTGAAATCCAGGCTACTGGGAAAACCAATGGGTGCATTTTTTAGGGTAGAACACAAAAACGACAAAGATTGAGTTGGCTGCACTGCATCTCTGTTTGTTGCCCCAGACAGAGGTGTGGGAGGGCAGGGCCCCCTGCTAGCCCCAGTAAGTCCCCTCTTTGCTTCCCACTCCCCTGCAGGTGGGCTGTAAGGCAGCTGTGGTCTTACTCCAGTACTGTGTCATGGCCAACTTCTTCTGGCTGCTGGTGGAAGGCCTCTACCTGCACACACTGCTTGTCATCTCCTTTTTCTCAGAGCGGAAGTACTTCTGGGGGTACATACTCATCGGCTGGGGTATGGTACCAGGGAGGGCCAGGGGGGGATGGAGGGGATAATGCCTGGGGAGCTCACTAGGGGGGGCCGGCCAACCCTGCCTGCACTCAGTCTCCCTGGGCTCAAGGCCAAGGGTTGATGGAAGTCCCCCAAATGTGTGACCCCAGGGCAGGTACCCTCAGGCTGCAGCTGCACCTGGGGCTCTTCTGTGGAACAGACAGGTTCTGCGAACATCCTTCCATGTCCCTGTCAGCCCTTGAAACACAAAGGGGCTAGTCTGTAAAGTGCTTCCGTCAGACTTAGAAAAAGATTCTTCCTTTAGGTGGACACAGCCCCACAGGCATAGAGTTCTCCGCTCTGTGGAGCATGTGTGCACAGTGAACAACCTAGACAACCATAGGGGCAGCCCTGGAAACCCAGCCTTTTCTCTCTCCCTCTCTCTGGTTTTCTCCTAAACCTCTCTCGCCCACTGTCCCTGCCTCCTGTGCCCTCTCCTCTCTCTCTCTTTCCCCTTGGGCCCTGACAGGAGTGCCTGGCACATTCACCATGGTGTGGACCATCATCAGGATCTATTTCGAGGATAATGGGTGAGCTGTCACCCCAGCCTACCCCCTGGCTGTCATCCCTGGGGGCAGATCCCCTGGGGGGGATGAGGAGGACCTGGGAGCAACATACTCTGGGCCCATAGTCTCTAGGGGCTCAGGGGCAGAGTGGGGGCAGCCAAGGGGCGGCTGGACCCGCGGCTGAGGACAGCCTCTCCCACTTTCCCCCCACTGCCCTGCCCAGATGCTGGGACACCATCAGCTCCCCACTGTGGTGGATCATAAAGGCGCCCATCCTCACCTCCATCTTGGTAAGGCCTCCCCCCACTTAGAGGTGGGGGGGAACCAAGGCCCACACTGGGTGGTTGCCTCACCCCAGGTCGCAGAGGAAGTTGAGTCCAGGTCAGAGCCGAGACTAGGTCTCCTGGTGCCGGCACAGGCTTCTCCCACTCCTTCCCCCTCAGGCCATCCTCGGGGATACTGAGGGGGCGCAGGGCCCGTCCATAGGGATGTGAGGCAGGGTTCCCAGGTGACTGGCCCAAAACACTCAGAGCTAGGGGAGAGGTAAACCGGAGGGGCAGCAGGGCCCTGCAGTGGAAAACAGGCCACGGGCAGGTGGCTGGGTGCCCACTCCCCTCTCTGCCCACGGACTTTGGCCCCCACCCACCAGGTGAACTTCATTCTGTTTATTCGCATTATTCGAATCCTGGTTCAGAAACTTCGGTCCCCAGATGTTGGCAAGAGTGACAGCAGCCCTTACTCGTGAGTGTGAGCCTGGTGCTCTGGTGCCCTGGAGCCCCCGCCCCTGGTCCCGAAACCCTCTCCTGTGTCTGTGAAGTCCCCCTGCTCTGAACCTCCAGAGTCATCAGAAAGCCACCTTGCTCTTGCCCACTCCTACCCCCACGGCCTGGCTCTACCCACATGTGCCCCTGCCCCGGCACCCTCACCAGGCTTATGCCTGCAGTCATTTACCTAGCAGGCGATCTGACCCAGGTATGTATCTGGTGCTGGAGATGACAGAAGGTAACCTGGGTGTTGTGCACACCATGTGTCTAGTTCCTGGCATGTGCGTGGCACAGAAAAGGGGCATAGAAAATGCACAGTAGATGAATGCCCTGGGGGACCCACCAGCCTAAGAGTGAGACAGCTATATTCAGGACCCAGTCCTCCCCAGTAATAATAATAACATCTGCAATTTGCATGCCAGGCATGTGCTGAGGCACCATCTCATTCATCCATACAGTCCCCTATAAATTGTCTCCACTTTACACAGGTGAGGAAACTGGCCCACTGTCCCCCCTCTCCAAGGGTTCGGGAGCACATCGCCCAGCAGCATGTCCACAGGACAGTGGTCACACTCCTTGCTTGGAAGGGTGTGAAGGCTGTTGCAGGTTCTTGGGAGGACTGGAGAAGCAGGCAGGTTTTCATGAGAACAAGGCTTGAAGCAGAACTAAAGAACCACAAGAAGAGCGCTAGGGGAACCTAGGAGAGGTCTGCACCCCCACGATGGGAACAGGAGGCGGACAGACCACTGTCAGTGCAACATGGGCGAGACAAGCCAGGGGCCTTCCAGGCCTGGGACCCTAGGGTGTTACCTTGGCCTGACTTCTCTTTGGGGAGTCTGTGCCGTGGTTCTTGGCTAGAATGTCATGAGCTGCTGAATTTAGGATGATTTAGAATTCTATTCTGGAATCCTGCAATTCTCTCTGAGACTAAGACTCACGTTCTGGGGTGACAGCATTCTCTCCCACTCCGTGGACAGGCGGAGCTTTCCTTCCTGCTTGAGAAGCGGAGGCCCTGGGGGGCCCACGGTCCACCAAAGCATGGCCCGTCAGACCTGTGCATCCTCATCCTCTATGTGGCCTGCAGGGCCTAGTTTTCCCCAATGTACGACCACCAATTAGGGCTTGACTCCGAGGCCACCAGCATGTCCATGTGGGTGAAGTGGAAACCCAACAGCTGTCAGCAGGCAGAATGGGAAGAGGAATAGGAGATGGAGCTTCCGCAGCCATGGGGGGCTGTCAGCTCCCACTCTCCACCTCCCCACAAGCTTCAATTTAAAGAAAGCCTCCATCTGTCAGCCCTGGGTGTGTGGGACACATGTGCAGCCAAGGAGGGGTAGACAGTGCCCAGCATCTTGGCATGGCCAGGAACCAGGTCTAGGAAGGAGCAGGGGGCCATGCCAGCTTCTCTGCCCTCAGTTTGCTGTGGCACCTCAGCACAAGGTCCAGGGCTAGGCTTCCCTGGACTAGCTGCCAAGGCAGGACAGACAAAGGCAGAGGCACAGTCCCACCCCCTGCCCCTCCGACCTCTTCCAGCCAGGCAACCATGGGCTCACACTGCCTGGACCAGCCATGACCAGGTGGGCAGGAGGCCTGAGCCAGACTGCCCCCTGCTCTGTAGGAGATGGGCAAGCCATGTAGTGAATGTGGACCCCACTGAGCACACAAAGCTGGGGAAGGAGGGGCTGGTCCTGCAGAGCAGGCTGGAGTGTGTATATTGGTATGATGAGGTGGGGAGAGGGATGCAATCCCAGAAAAGGTGGCAACTCCTGGAGAAGTGGACACAGCTAAGAAGCCAGAGGGCTGTATTAGTTGACCCTGGGTCATCTCTGGTGACCAGGCACAACTTGAACACACACCATCCTCCCAAGTGATCTTGGGCCTCTGTGGTCAGGACCTCATTACAAAGACTTCCTCTCTAGTTGTCTTCATGCCCAATGGAAAATCGGTCTCTCATTGATAAGCTGTAATTTACAGCACCCAAAGTACTTCTGAGTTTACAGTGGGCCCCATTTCTGTAATTTGATCTTGTTGAACATACATTCATCTCACTGTACAGAATAGGGAGATGGAGATCAGGAGAGGGGGAACCGGGAGCTACTGTTTCCTGTGACCATCTCCCCATTGGCTGCCACACAGCCTGAAGCATCACTGTCATGCATCTGCCTCAGGGCTCAGCACTGGCCCTCCTTAACCCTCAGAAGGGAGCAAATAGAGGGTCTCCCCCCACCTTCCTTCCCTCCAGGCTAGGAGGGCCAGAGGGAATGGGGCACAGGCACTGCCGACGTCAGAGAGGGACAGATGTGGACATGATGTTCATGGGAGCCCACATCCTGGTCGTTGTCTCCATCTTCTGTGCCCATGCTGGGCCTCGCGTCCATGCGTGTGGACACACACACCCACTGCTCACCCCTCCATCCCCAGGCGGCTGGCCAAGTCCACCCTTCTGCTGATCCCTCTGTTTGGAGTTCACTACGTCATGTTCGCCTTTTTCCCAAGCAACTTTAAGGCTGAAGTGAAAATAGTCTTTGAGCTGGTTGTGGGGTCCTTCCAGGTATGAACTGTTGACTGAAGGCTGCATTCTTCTCTGGGCTTTAAGGGAATTCAACCTGGGGCCCCGGCCCCTTGACACTGGATTCCAGTCTTTTCATTGTATTAAGCATTGATTAAGGACCTACTGTGTGCTTAGCCTTTTGCTTACCTAGGGGAATACTGGAGCCAGGGCCAGGGGTGGAGCAGGGCTGGGCTCCTGAGGTCTGCCCCCCTCACCTCTCCTGTCACCTCCCTCCCCAGGGTTTTGTGGTGGCCATCCTCTACTGCTTCCTCAATGGTGAGGTGAGTCCCCCCCAGACCTTGGGGGCCAGGGAACAGAGCCTGGATAGACCCAGGGTCCAGAAGCACTGATGGGATATGAGGGGCAGAGCAAAGCCCATTAGAGCCTCAGTGTTCCTCAGGATAGTATGTTGGTGGTGGCACCCAGGACCTTGTTAGAAAATGCTGATTTCAGGCCCACCCCAGACCTGCTGATTTAGAATCTACATTTTTAAGAAAACCTCCCAGGGGATCCATGTGCACATCAGTTTGAGAAGCGCCTATGTTAAATGGTTGGGTGCGGAGTGGAGATGGATGCAGGCAGCGACAGAAGGCTGAGTCACTCTGGGGCCCTGGCTCCGGGCTCAGAAATCCACCTGGCCGAGTTCAGGTGAGGAGAGCAGGGATCAGAAGAATGGAGGTAGAGCCGACCCCAGGCGGCGTGCCCCTCCCGCCCAAAGGGCCTCCGCAGAGCCTCCTGCTCCCACCTCCCACCCCCCTCCCCTGGGTCTTAATTTTACTTTGGTCCCTAAGCGGTCCCAATTGTGCACCACCCAAGGCGGCAGGTCTCGCACTTCAGACACCCCCAGAGGATATGAGTCGCTGGCTCAGCATCACAGATGGAGGGCAGCCTCAACAGCAGCAGAGGAGGCCCCGCGGGGCACGCCTGACCACCCTCCTTTCTCCCAGGTGCAGGCGGAGCTGCGGCGGAAGTGGCGGCGCTGGTACCTGCACGGCGGCCTGGACTCGGATCCCAAATACCAGCACCCGTCAGGAGGCAGCAACGGGGCCACCTGCAGCACGCAGGTCTCCATGCTGACCCGCGTCAGCCCGGGCGCACGCCGCTCCTCCAGCTTCCAAGCCGAAGTCTCCCTGGTCTGACCACCGGGGACCCAGGGCGGCTGCGCCCGCCCGCACCCCCACCCCTACCCCGGCAGCACCGGGGACAGAGGCGAGGCCTGCTCGGGCGAGACCGGCCCCAGCCCTGGGCTCGGAGGCTGCCCCGGCCCCCAGGTATCATGGGCACAGGCTTCCTTGGAGAACTGTGCCCTTGCGCCTGCACGGAGCGAGGAGGGGCATAGATCCGGAAACCATCTGCAACCTGGGGCGCTGGGGGCTCCCACCCAGCAGACGTGGGATGGAGCTCAGTCATCAGACCCCTCCTCAAAAGCTCCTTCCGCCAGTAAAGGCGAGAAATCCGCATCTTTTCACCTAACTCCGCCCGATAGCTCTCAAGTTTAGAGGAAGGCAACCGCTCATCCCCAAACAGTCTGAGGGGAAACGTGGTGTGATCCAAGGCGATCAAGCTCTTGTCCCTAAAGGTCACCCCGCCGCCACCTCGACAGTGCCTGAAGTTCCACCCTTGCCGTCAAGTTCCTCTGGGTTAAGCGTTGCCACTGAGGTGCCGCTCTGAATATGCAATCCCACCCACCCCTCTTGGCTGCCAGCCCCTCGAGGTGGATGAGTTTCTCTGTCTCAGGCAGATCGTCTGTGATGAGGGGCTTTAGTTTGGGGAGCTCAGCTGTCTTCCCAGTCCCCGCTGAAACGAAGTGTCCCAGGGTGGCTGCAACAACTCAAGGGGACTGTCACCAGCCCTACACACTCCTACGGGCTGTGGGAGCTACCCGCCGCCGCCCTCCCACCTGCGTGCCAACCACCAGAGCCAGGCTCAGTGAGGCGCCTCAGGGGCATATTGATGCTCACACTGACCCGGCAAATGCTCCTATTCACAGATCAGGAAACCGAGCTCACAGAGAGTAGGTGCCTCACCTTGTCATGCAGACAGGATTTCAACTCAGATCTGCCTGATGGGACAGTGAAAGCACTGACTCCAACTGCAGCCTTTTATATATAACAAACTGGTCCTTATGGCTATTTGTATCACCGCTATTACCACCATCCCTATAACCCCATTCCACCCGACCCTCCCTGCAGTGTGGCTGAGGAGTCCTCCAGCCGTGTATCATCCAGACAAGAGCCTTGTGGTCACAGCATCTTGTGGGTGCCCTGCACCCCTGTGGCCACATGGCTTCCTGCCCATGCCCCAGCCTTGTGCGACAATAAATGGAGGTTGAATCGGCTTATTCTCCCTGGTGGTGGTTGTTCCCATCTGGCCTAAAATGGGGACCTCCTTCCAGCTTGTGGCCATCTCCCCCCATTCAGAGAAGTGGGGGTCAAAATCATCACTGAAGCCAGACACCACCGCCCCTCTGGCTTGGATGGGAGCCCTGCATTTCCATGTGAGGAGTGCACAGCTCTGAGGGCCTTTTCCTTGTATCTCACTGAGTGGTATCCTCTCTCTTCTGAGTGTGAGGAACATATACCTGGTCCTCTGTGTCCCCCAACCCTAGACTTAGCCAAGAGGAGACAGTTTTATTAAGAATCAAAATGAAGCAGTGGATAGAGCTCCCAGTGGTCCTGGGAACAGTTAAGGAGGAGCATTTCACAGGCTTCGGCCATTCCTGCAGACAAGGAGCACAGGGGGTATGACTGAGCATGTTCCCATGGCTCGCGGAGTCCCGCCGAGAGGAGGGGGGAGCGGACAGAACAAACATCACCAGAGCTGGCGACTAAGAGAAAGGTTCAGACACAGGGGCAGTAGGGTAAGGTAGATGATGTCAGCCAGCAAGTGATGTACCCCAAGCTTTGCCTGAGCTGACCTCCTTGGCTTCTGCTTCTTGAAAACTTGCAAGGAGTTTGTCTTACTGCAGGAGCAGTAAAGAGATGCCAAGCTGTTAAAAAGGAGGCCAGAATGGGCTGACAAAGGCTCAGATCTGCCTGTAAGGCTCCTTCAAACTCAACACCATCCCAGGACCCAACACCAAGTGACAACCCCAACCCCACATACTGCAGAGTCTGGGGTGATCAAGCCAGAATAAAATTGACTGTGATCTAGGGCAGGGGTAACCCCTGGCCAATACCTTTGGCCAGTGGGCCAGCATAACCAAAAGTGGCACTGTCTCATCCGCATTCACACCTACCGCACGGCACGGTAGGCTGTGGTGGGAGGAGGCCATGCCCCTAGCTTTGACCTGAGGCACTCTCCAGCCTGCAGAGAGAGCATTCTCAGTGCTGTACCTCCTGTGGCTCTGCCCAGGCCAGCAGTGGGGACCAATGAAGGGCTGGGGCTGGAGAGCTGGTCTGGGCACCTGGAGTGCCTGGGGCTTCTCCGTTCCTCCCTGAGAGTCTCACATCCCTTCTACCCCAAGGCCTGATGAGAGATGGGCACAGGCAACATGGCCATGCTCCTCTCCCCTGGCTGGGCAGGTCACTCGTCACCTCCGGTTTCCTGTCTCCCCTTCTCTACTCAATGCCTCCCTGAACTGGTTCCAGTGGCCTTGTCCACAGGTAGAGTTCAGAAGACCCAGACCTCATCTTTTAGTCCTGATTCTACTCAGACTTTCTTGAAGATCATGAGCAGGTCCCTGTCTCTCTCTGGGCCTGTTTTCCACCTGCACAATGGCTGGAGGAGGGATGCTGGATGACTTAGCCTAGCTCCTGGTGTGAGTGGCTGGTAAGGAGTAGCTGTGAAGAGCCCTCTGCCGCCCTTTCTGTCCTCTGTGCCTGGGGCAAGGCAGCCGCCAGAGACGCAGTCCCTAGCCGTCTGGGGACTAAGGAACACCCGCGACAGAGGCTGTGCCGAGAACAGGCTTAGGGAGCTTGGTCTGGTGGAGAGGGAGAGGGAGAGGGAGAGGGGCAGCAGAATGGGGGGAGGGGGGCCAACTGAGCCTAGAAGCAAGGTGTTTGCAAAGGAAAAGGCAGCACCCTACCTTCTAGACCAGGGACCCCAGACCAAGCTGGACCTGGCCCATCTTCCACAGTGCCTGAAATGCCGCCATTAGTGAGTCAGGACCTCAGGGTGAAGGGAGAGCCCTGGGGAGACAAGGAGGGTTATTAGCAAGGAGGGTAGGAAGTCAAAGAAACAGAAGAGGCTCAAGTCACAGATACCAAAAGGGAGCACAGGGAGCCGTACCCTGAGAGCTGGCAGCGACTGGAAAGCCCAGTGCTGGGCACTCAGCAATGGGGAGAAGCCAGAATACTGGCTCAAGCCAGCAAGGGCCGTGGGCAGACATCCCAGTCTGCCAGTGGAGTGGGCGTGACCACAGCGTAATTTCTCCTGCAACCCCACTTCCCTCCAGCTCCTTGGTCCCTCTTTTACCTTGCGCGACACAGATCAGGCCAGACCAGCTCATCTCTACCGCCATCTAGTGGGTACCTCAAGGACTTTGCCAGGGTTGACCTTGGTGCCAAATCCTGGGTACAGGCCTCTTCCCCAGAGGCCAGGCGATACAGAGAGCAGGCGTCCCTCAGTTTCCATTCAGAGTGAGATACAAGGGGGAGGGGCTGGTCAGGCCACAGGACTGACAACCCCAGGGACATGCTGGGACTAAGGAGACCAAGGACCTGGCCCTCAGACGACCTGACTGACCTCTGTGACACACAGCAATCCTGCCTCAAACGCACCTGAGACTCCAGACAGAGCTGGGCCTCTGGCTGACCAGTGCTGGCCATTGCCCAAGCCCTGACTCCAGTCCCTGAGGGAAAAGTCCCAGTAACTCAGGTGGGCACCCCCTGGAAAGACAAGAGCGAGGAGCCTGCCCCATCCTAATGCAGAGGGCCACCACTGAGACAGAGGCAGAGGGCACCATGCAGTTCCTGCCACTCCAGGGCATGGGCTGCCCAAGGAAGGAGGAGACAGGGAGCAGCTTCCCAGGTGAAGAGACATTAGGGTGGTCTCTGAAGACCAGGAAGAGGTCTCAGCGTCCCAAAGCAGCACAGCGGGTACCGGGGACAGCTGAATCCATACAAGCAGGTGCCAGGAGCCCTTTGCAGCAGGAACCCAGGGAAGGCTTCTCAAATGAAACCAAAGGCAAGAGGACAGGCTTGGAGCAAGTGCCATGGCTGCTGAGAAGGGCCCCAGGGGCAGACCAAGGGAAAACTGCCAGTCCACCATCCAGGTGAGGGAGAAGTAGGGGGTAGGTGGGGAGATGATGACCCAGTTTGGGACGTGCTAAATGTAATGTCTGTGGAGCATCTGGGGAAAGCTCTAGGGCTACTGAAATCAGGGTCTAAATTGACAAGGTCCAGGCAGGGAGTGGGGAGACCTGGGCAGCCCCCACAGGGGAGTCCCCAGGAACCTCCAGCTGGTGTGCTAGGCTGGGTATGTTGAGGAGTCAGTGTCAGCCCTTCCATTCCCATCACTTGCTCAGGGCCTGTTTTAACGAGCAATGACCCTGCCTTCCCCAACCTCCCCCCATGTGGGAACAGGAACTGCTCTTATCTCTCCAGGGGGAGGGGGCTGTAGCCACAGCTGGCAGTCATTAAACACCCCAATCAGGCCGGGATGGTCAAGATATTAATAGCTAGGAGTCAGTGACCCTGGAGACACAGCCTCCCAGGAAGAGGGACAATAACCTCCGCACGTCATGGGGATGAAGACAGGTCAGGAGGCCATCCTGGCAATGCCCCAGCCTTCACACAAGACAGACCGGGTAATCAAAGTCCAGAGAAGGGAAGGAACTTGCTTGGATCACCAGCAAGTCATCAGTGGAGCTTGGTCTTGAACAAACCCGGCTCTAAGAATCCCAGAGCCCTGCCCCATCACTCTCACTGTCGGAGGTGAGAGCCACTGGGCATGCCATATGGGGAGACAGCTACCGGGCAACACCGATTCTTTAGTCTTGATATTTCTTTATTGTGTAATTTTTGCATTAGTTTTGATTTTTTAATATTACATTAAAATATTATTTATCCTGATTACTGAGGTTTTTGCCACCTTGAATTTTGCACCCAAGGCAAGTGCCTACTTTGACTCACCCTAGTCCCAGGCCAACTCCCAGAGGTACCAGCATCCCAGAGTCCCAGCATGTCTCCATGGAAAAAATTTTGAAGAGCTCTGAGCCATCCTTTGTGTGGTTCATGGGGGAAGGGTCCTGCCAGGATGATGCCTACAAAAGTAGGCAGCTCCCAGGTTAATTCAGTGACTCAACAATGTCATTGCAGACACAGGTGTTTTCTGTCTGTTCACTTTGTCATCCTGAGTATGTTGACTTTCATCCACAGACTTATCACCTCATGACTGCAAG